CACCCACCTGGTAGAGGTGGGCGCCACCCACCTGGTAGAGGTGGGCACCACCCACCTGGTAGAGGTGGGCGCCACTCCCCTGGTAGAGGTGGGCGCCACTACCCCACCTGGTAGAGGTGGGCACCACTCACCTGGTAGAGGTGGGCGCCATTAACCCACCTGGTAGAGGTGGGCGCCACTCACCTGGTAGAGGTGGGCGCCACTCACCTGGTAGAGGTGGGCGCCACTCATACAACTGGTAGAGGTGGGCGCCACTCACCTGGTAGAGGTGGGCACCACCCACCTGGTAGAGGTGGGCGCCACTCCCCTGGTAGAGGTGGGCGCCACTACCCCACCTGGTAGAGGTGGGCGCCATTAACCCACCTGGTAGAGGTGGGCGCCACTACCCCACCTGGTAGAGGTGGGCGCCACTCCCCTGGTAGAGGTGGGCGCCACCCACCTGGTAGAGGTGGGCACCACTCACCTGGTAGAGGTGGGCACCACTCACCTGGTAGAGGTGGGCACCACTCACCTGGTAGAGGTGGGCGCCACCCACCCACCTGGTAGAGGTGGGCACCACTCACCTGGTAGAGGTGGGCGCCACTCACCTGGTAGAGGTGGGCGCCACCCACCTGGTAGAGGTGGGCGCCACTCACCTGGNGTCAGTGACAGCACTGGAGAGGACAGTTACCGTCAGTGACAGCACTGGAGAGGACAGTTACCGTCAGTGACAGCACTGGAGAGGACAGTTACCGTCAGTGACAGCACTGGAGAGGACAGTTACCGTCAGTGACAGCACTGGAGAGGACAGTTACCGTCAGTGACAGCACTGGAGAGGACAGTTACCGTCAGTGACAGCACTGGAGAGGACAGTTACCGTCAGTGACAGCACTGGAGAGGACAGTTACCGTCAGTGACAGCACTGGAGAGGACAGTTACCGTCAGTGACAGCACTGGAGAGGACAGTTACCGTCAGTGACAGCACTGGAGAGGACAGTTACCGTCAGTGACAGCACTGGAGAGGACAGTTACCGTCAGTGACAGCACTGGAGAGGACAGTTACCGTCAGTGACAGCACTGGAGAGGACAGTTACCGTCAGTGACAGCACTGGAGAGGACAGTTACCGTCAGTGACAGCACTGGAGAGGACAGTTACCGTCAGTGACAGCACTGGAGAGGACAGTTACCGTCAGTGACAGCACTGGAGAGGACAGTTACCGTCAGTGACAGCACTGGAGAGGACAGTTACCGTCAGTGACAGCACTGGAGAGGACAGTTACCGTCAGTGACAGCACTGGAGAGGACAGTTACCGTCAGTGACAGCACTGGAGAGGACAGTTACCGTCAGTGACAGCACTGGAGAGGACAGTTACCGTCAGTGACAGCACTGGAGAGGACAGTTACCGTCAGTGACAGCACTGGAGAGGACAGTTACCGTCAGTGACAGCACTGGAGAGGACAGTTACCGTCAGTGACAGCACTGGAGAGGACAGTTACCGTCAGTGACAGCACTGGAGAGGGCAGTTACCGTCAGTGACAGCACTGGAGAGGGCAGTTACCGTCAGTGACAGCACTGGAGAGGACAGTTACCGTCAGTGACAGCACTGGAGAGGGCAGTTACCGTCAGTGACAGCACTGGAGAGAGCAGTTACCGTCAGTGACAGCACTGGAGAGGGCAGTTACCGTCAGTGACAGCACTGGAGAGAGCGGCTGCCAGCAGGAAGCTGGTCAGGACGCCGTGTCGCCTGCCAGCGCCGTACTTGCCGCCCACCACAACCAGGTCCAGGTCTGGTACCAGCGCCTCCACGTACTGCAACCATTATACCATTACAACAACCATTACACTAAACATTACACCATTGCACCAGCCATTACACCATTACACCAAACAGTACACCATTGCACCGACCATTACACCATTGCACCGACCATTACACCATTGCACCGACCATTACACCATTGCACCGACCATTACACCATTGCACCGACCTTTACACCATTGCACCAACCATTAAATCATTGCACCAAACATGACAATAATCATCGCCCACAGCAACCACAGCATTAATCGTTGCAGTAACCATCTCTGACAGTAATCGTAATTTGATATATAATGAAATTCCGCCAATTAAATACGAGAATAAGACATCAGACTGCCAGATATAGGTACTTACGTCGGGCTGACAGTGTGAACGATGAACTTCGTTCACTATTAGCCGTGTTCATTTTATCTCGTGGGCATACCGAAGGCCACATCTAGCGTGGCCGCCTTGGTAACATTTATGTCGGACCTTACTTGGGCGGTAGCAACGTAGTGCAAGGTCAGGGGCCATACTTTCAAAACTCGCTAAGTGAACGTAAGTACTTACGCTCTATTTTCTTGTCTATGATTGGTCGATTTTACCTGAAAGGCCGTCAATGATTGTCTGATGAACTTTCGATCTCCTAATTTTTTTTGAAAGTATAGGCCCAGGTCTGAGCGGCTGTGAGTCGGTTAGTCAGTCGTGTCCCGCCAGCCCTACAGTGAGGTTCTAGCCTGAACTCACCTCGCTCCGTTGCTAAGTTAGCAATCTTGTGCTCCAACGCTAGTTCTTGTGTAACTGTGCTCCATATGCTCCATCAAGCAGTATAATGTCTATCGTGCTTGTTCTGTTATTTTTCAAACGTATCCCTTTCAAGTGCTTTGCTGAAATAAAACTGTGTTTTATCCGTGTTAACCGAAGTTTTAATGGAAGACATCCTATTGCAATAAAGTGAAATTCAACTCATAACAGAGTCCTTGAACTTTTTACAAGATAGTTGCCGGCGTTTGGCCGTAAGAGCTCTGATCATCCTGACAAGTATAAAGGTTGTGGCAGGCGTCCGGTGACATAATTCGCTTGTATTGAGAATAATTATTATTTGTTGTGGTACAGGTGGGAGCATCANACAGGAGTGGGCTTACGTCGGGCTGACAGGAGTGGGCTTACGTCGGACTGACAAGAGTGGGCTTACGTCGGGCTGACAGGAGGGGGCTTACGTCGGGCTGACAGGAGTGGGCTTAAGTCAGGCTGACAGGAGTGGGCTTACGTCGGGCTTGAGCTTGATCCAGCCGGCGGTGCGGGCGGCGGGGGTGTACGGTCCGTCGGGGTCCTTGAGTACGACCCCCTCCTGCCGGGCCAATATGGCGGCATTGAGGACCGACACGACCTCCTCCCTGCCCGACACACGGCGTTAACACTCACATAAATGAATGGGTCATATGACACACTTTCTTAAAGACAGCACGCGTATACAGCGCACGTAGCAAGCTTTTTTGTCGGGGCTAAATGGGTCAGGATGACCAACACGGCGTAACTGCCTCGTAGTATGAGGTCAGGTCTGAGTGGCAGCGAGGTACTAGCCTGAGCTCGTTCCGCTCTACCAACTCTCAGCGATCTTGTACACTAACGCTAGAGTATTGGTTTTGCTTTAAAAGATTCATGAAACTGTCTATTGCTCATGAAGGTCTCTTTGGTGGGCTTGATATGTTAAAAAACTGGCTTCTTTTAAACTGTTCCTTGCTGGGATAAAGTTTACGTTTTATCCACCTGAACTGATGTTTTAATGAACAACCATGTGCAATTTAATACAAGCGATTGAAACTCCATTCAGATTTGTATTTTTTTTAACGGGATAGTGACCGGCATTCGGCCGTAGTTAAACCGGCATTCGGTCGTCTAATTACCGGCATTCGGCCGTAGTTATACCGGCATTCGGCCGTATAGTAACCGGCATTAGTTACCGGCATTCGGCCGTAGTTATACCGACATTCAGCCGTATAGTTACCGGCATTCGGCCGTAGTTATGCCGGCATTCGGCCGTATAGTTACCGGCCCGGTGAGAAGATGACGTACCTGTTGGTCACTTCCTGTTGTTTCGACACTACGAGACGTCCTTCCTGTTGACGCAGAGCGCCTATCAACAGCTGACGTCGCTCACTGAGGGGCAGGGACGTTAGCACGCGCCCGTTCAGCAACAGGACGTCGAACGCGCAGAAGCAGACCTGCAGTGGCCCGTCCTCGCGCAGCGACTTAACGTCGTGGTTCTGCCCTGCGGTACGTCGTGTACGTTAACGTGTCCTCACGTTAGTACGTTAACAGAGCTTTAATTTAGCGTTTTATTTCTTCTATACTACATATCTTTCTCTTTACGTGAGTTTCGAACCAATATAATTCCATGCCTTGGTAAACGGACGAACATTTCCTTAAATTTGAGTTACGGAGATCTGAACGCTACCTGATAAATAGCATTTTAGTACTGTAAAACTAAATACTGTAAGATAATCTCGAAACATAGGCTGCCTATTTAAAAATGTTTTATATAAAAAACAATATTAATTTTATTTTATTTATATAAAGTGCCTTTAGGTACGACGACGCCATATTGCTTGTGCCAGCAGACCACCTCCCCGTCCAGGATGATCTCCTGCACGTGCGGCAGCAGCAGCCCGTGCACGTGGGGGGTGAGGGACCCCTCGTGGGGGGAGCCCCCGAAACTGCTAGTGTAGTCGAACCCGTTCCTGAAACAGCAAACCCATTCCTGAAACAGCGAACTCATTCCTGAAACAGCGAACCCATTCCTGAAACAGTGAACCCGTTCCTGAAACAGCGAACCTGTTCCTGAAACAGTGAATTTTGAGGAAACTTATCGTTCACACGATGTTACTTCCATGGAGAAATACAGGTTGCTGGACCTGGAGTAGTAAATGTACACACCTCAATAAGAACATGCACACAACACAACAAGTACACGTACACACCTGGAGAAGTACATGTAAGTGTCGCCACGCTTGTGTAGCTGCGATCGCTCGCCATCAAACTTCTCCTCAGCGACGTAAGTTTTACGCCGCATTTGCTTCTCAATTTTCCGGAGCACCGCGCGCTCCGCAAGCATCGGCCGGAACGCTGCGAACAGCGACACCTGCACCTCGTGGAGGCGTATCAAGGGGTCACGCAGGGTCGTGCATACCTGCTGGGGACATCAGGGGGCTTAAGGCATCAGGGGACCATAGCAGCGAGTTGTGGGGTCGAAACCCGCTACCAGTTATTAAGTTATTACCAGACCTGTCAGTACACCTGCACCTCGTGGAGGCGTATCAAGGGGTCACGCAGGGTCGTGCATACCTGCGGGGCGTGGGCTTAATTAATATAAATAATAGTGGTTAATAGCAGCGAGTTGTGGGGTCGAAACCCGCTACCAGTTATGTCAATTCGACAAGGTGGCCGGGAGGTGAACAATCTGCAACAGTTGATGATATTTATTTTATAATTTATTTATTTATAATTATTAAAGGTTATTATAAAGGGTTTATTTATTTATTTTTATTATAAAAGTACAGTATCTTATAACTTTTGTACGGAAAAATTTCGGGTGTGGCGGAAATGATGTTCCTCAAGAATCAAGATTGCTTATCAACTACCATCAGTAAAAATATTTCTGTGGAGTGTAATTAGGTTAATTAGAGAGCGTTAATAGATCTCAGCTGACTAATATCTTGGCAGAACAGCTCGCGAGCTGACATCGTAGCACTGACCTTGTCGAGGCAGTTGCTGACGTCGTAGCACTGACCTTGTCAAGGCAGTTGCTGACGTCGTAGCACTGACCTTGTCAAGGCAGTTGCTGATGTCGCAGCACTGACCTTGTCAAGGCAGTTGCTGACGTCGTAGAGGTCCCTGGCGTCAGGATGCCAGCACGTCAGCACGGTGCTGGCGCTCAGCCCCAGCGACACCTCCTTCAGCAACACGCGGATGACCCACTTCTGCTCGAGCGCCGCCATGTTGCGCACCAGCAGCGTCAGCACCCGCGTCACCTCCTCTAGGGGGCGGAGCTACGTTACGCGTCGCCATGACAACGCAACGCGTCACCTCCTCTAGAGGGCGGAGCTACGTTACGCGTCGCATGACAACGCGACATGTCACCATGACAACGTAACATTTCACCATGACAACGGTACACGTCACCATGACAAGGTACACGTCACCATGACAACGTACACGTCACCATGACAACGTACACGTCACCATGACAACGTAACACGTCACGACGACAACGTAAGACGTCACGACGATAACGTAATGTGATGTGATGTAACATCACAGCAACAGCTTCATACTGATCTATGCATTCCTAAGCATCATGCCTATACTTTCAAATAAAGTTAAGAGATCGTAAGTTCACCAGCCAATCATTGACGGCCTTTCAAGCTAAATCCAGCAATCACAGACAAGAAAATAGAGCGTAAGTACTTACGTTAACTTAGCGAGTTTTGAAAGTATGGCCCCTGATGCATTAAGGTGTAGGATGCTTCATCATGTGAGGTGATGGTGAGTGCGAGCTTTGCTACTTGCCTGTTGCAGTGGTATTATGGTATCCTGAAGGTGTTACTGTGGCATCGAGGTAGTAATTCGACTTGGCCTATCTTTTGTCCTTGTATCAAATCGGAACATCCTCGTCATTATTCATGCTGTTGCACCGCCTTCGTCGTCCGTTGTTTGTTCCTCCAAACAGTCTAGGTATAACCAACGGGCACGTGTAAGATTAAAGTGCCTCATCCCTCACCACCTTCAGCATCATGCCCTATGAGTACTAATAATCACCTTGGGTGCCCTGGGCGTGGTGGGAGGCGATGGCGCTGAGATGGGCGTCCACATCCCGCAGGGTGAGGTTGCCCACCGCAGGGCAGCGGTTCTTGAGCACGTAGTAAGCTACCTCTGCGAAGTCCCCCCCACTGCTGCCCCCCGCCGTCTTAGGGGCGCTACGGTAATAATTAAACTAATTAATTACTTATTGCAGTATTAGTTAACCTAAATACATATCTAATTAAGGACCTAGCAAAAGACCTTTGCGAAGTTCCCCCCACCTCTCTTGGAAGCGCTGGGGCATTAATTACCTTGATTAACTACCTATATTTATTGCATAAATTAAGCAGGTAATTATTGAACCATTATTCAATAAAATAATTCAATAATAATAATTATTCAATAAAATTAATTAACTATAGCAATATTATGGATCAAAATAAACAAACTATCAAGCAATTAATTAACGCTTAATATACAACATTAATCCTAATTAACCAAAGACAATAAAATTTGACACTGGCTGGGATAAACTCAACAGAAATTCTCACCAAATCAAGTCGAATAAATAAAAAATAGCATCAATACATTCAAATGTTTAAGTTTCTTTTTAATTAATTTTTTTAACCGAGTCTGAACAACATTTACTACTGAACGTCAAACCAAATTGCTGGAGAACTTCTTACTCAGTTTTGAGTGAAGTATGAATATCGATAAGGAGTTGCATTAAGAAATGAATATTTCATAAATATAATCCAGATGCGTAGAGGTAATAATAAACTAATAATGTACAATTACCATCGAGTTCAAAGTAATTTACCGCACGATTACCTAGCATTTACCGGTAATTAAGAAGTTTGAGGTCATAATAAGTATTTCTACACGATTACCATCGAGTTCAAAGTAATTTACAACACGATTACCTAGCAGTACCCGACAATTAAAAGGTTTGAGGTGATAATAAAGTATTTCTACACAATTACCATCAAGTTACCGGTAATTAAGATGTTTGAGGTCATTATAAAGTATTTCTACCCGATTACCATGGAGTTACCGGTAATTAACAAGTTTGAGGTGAT